GCAAATATGTTTAAAATATTTCAACAACTTGTTCTGAATAACCAAAAGGCTCAGGATGTTGATATTTAGTTAGTAGCATATGCTGGGATCAAGGACTACTATGTTTGTTAAAGTGAATGACTTTGACTTATATTCAAGGTCACAGGGGTCAAATTTGTTTAAAATCTTTAAACAACCTCTTATGAATAACCATGGGTCCCAGGATGTTTATACTTTGCAAGTTGCATCCTGAGATGAAAGGCTATACAATGTGTTCAACATAATGACTTTGTTCGACTTTCAATCACAGGGGTGAAATGTTTTAAAAAAAATTAACAGTGTCTTTTGAATGAATTTTAATCATAAATACCGATATTATGCCTGTAGCTTTATTTTAGATCACTTTTAAGGTTACAAGTGTGAGTTTTATACCAGGTGAGCGATGCAGGCCCATTGGGCCTCTTGTTAGGATATGTGACAAGAAAGGATCCATCTTTGTTACTTAAACATTATTGAATTGATTGTGTCCCTTCTACTTTACCTTGGGATTAATTTACATATCTATGACCCTCAAGTACCGTTATTCATAAAAAAATGTATGCCGTTATTTCATTAAGATATGATGACTTATTGGGTATCAAATGCAAGTGTAAACAATATAAGACACACAAATCAGATTTTTTCTTCTAGTTTGTAAGTATTTTGTATAACAACGAGAAAGCTAATGATAATATTTTGCAGTGAAATTTTTACGGTTACTATTAAAACTAAAAGTTTGCATTAAGCACAACTTAACATGAATAATAAATTAGTGAAAGAGTGATTGACTGTTTAAAGCTGGGTAATATACCGGAACACGGACAACAAACATGGAGGGATAGTAAACTGTCCCAGTCAGTTTTATTTCCTAACCAGAATGATCTGTCGATATATTTAGCATTTAATAATTGATGATGTTTGCTGTATAGATGTTGTCTGTTGAGTGTACACAGGTTTGAAACTAAACAATGTATGGTTGTGTAGTGACTTCAAATGGATTGAAGAGCACACATGCTCAGTATCTCACTCCTGATAAAATTTCATAAAAGTGCAAGTCCAATAAAGTCTATACCTGTAACTGAGCAAGATCGAGTTATCTCAGCCGAGGGCTAAGATTCCATAACATAATCCCAAGTGAGGTGCAAGCGGAGTTTGGGATGTTACAGAATCTTAGCCCAAGACTGTGCATTGTGTTAATTAAGTCGCTGTTACCTCAAAGGTAAAATACTTTTTGATTTTCTAGCCGAATCCTGTCCAAACCATATCTTTTCA